TAAGGATGATAGGCATCCGTGTCGAAATTTTTTAAAACATTTTATTTATTCATTTTTAGAGAGAGGGGAACAGAGCTAGAAAGAGAGGGTGAGAAACTTCAGTGTGAGAGAAAAACATCAGTAGGTTGCCTCTCCTATACTGCCCCAGCCAGGGACGGAACCCACAGCCCAGGCATGTGCCCTGACCAGGAGCCACACTACTCAGGGCTCTGTCTACATTTTTATTTTAATTTAGGTTTTTTTAGTGTCTTACCACTGAAAACAATATGTACTGTTAGGTTTTAGTAAAATGTCTTCATTACATATAAGCAATTTCCCTGTTTTCGGAGTTTTTACTAGGAATGGTGTGCTGGCTCCTTATATTAAGTATGGGAGCTTTCCTATATACTTAACTAGATTAAATGGCATAAAAGTTATTATTACATAAGGTTAGGTAAACCCTGCTGTGATGCTGTTCAAATGCAGTCCTTTCAAAAAGTTTACCTTTAATCATATTTCTATTCTAGTCTTTTCTAGGATAAGTTGAACTCTTCAAGCTTTCCTATTTCTCTTGGGTCAAATTTGGTAAATTCTGTTTTTCCTGAAAGGTATCCATTTCCTCTAAATTTTCAAATTAGTTGATGAGAAATTTTAAATTGCACTTTTTTATAATTCTTTCTCTCCCCCATCTGTAATGATGTTTTCTTTCTTGTAACTAATCTTGTCTGGTTTTTTTTATCTTGTCTGTTTTTCATTCTTTTTTCCCCTTATTTGGGCTTGCACGAAGTTTACTCTATTAGCCCTTTTAAGAACATTTTTTCCACCTGCTCTTTAATATTTTCATTTGTGTTCCATAGTGTTCATGTCCGTTTTTGTTATATCCTGATTACTTTTGGTTTCTTTTCTTGTTCTTTTGATGATTTATTAAAATAAGTATTGCCTTTTTTTTTCAACTTGCTATCTTTGTGGCATTTCAGGGATGTAGGTAGTGTCATTGAGAGGGTTCCTGGTATTACATTGTTTTTTCATTCAGCACTTAAATTCTGTGAACATGATCAGCTTGTCCTTTTTAAAACCAGCTTTCCTATATTGTAATTTACATGTAGTAAATCTTATCAAGTTTAAGTAGACAGTCCTATGAGTTTTGACAAAGACATTCAGTCATCTAACCACCACCGCAATCAAGATACCGACAACTCCCGGCACCCCTAAAGTCCCTCCTACCTCCTTCCAGCCAACCCTCACACCACTTTCAGCCTGTAACTCACTGCCCTGGTTGGATATCCGTATTATTGCTGCTTTCTGTTTGACTGGTATACACCCCCCACATCTTTATTTTGACTCTTTCTTTACTACTTTGCTTTAAGTGTGTTTCTTTGAAGTACTATGGACCAGAATTTGATTTATAACAAAATCTGATGAAATATAACAAAATTTAATGGAAGAATTCAGGCCGTTCACGTTCACTGTGATGAGTTATATATCTGATTATTTCCATCTTACTTGGTTTTAGATTTTTCAACACTGTTGAAAGCTCTTCTTTTTCTTTACTGGATTGAATGAGCATCTATTCATCCCATTCTCCCCCTTGTCAATTTGGAGTTTGCCATTCTGTTAATAGTTAGTGGTCCGTGGCCCTGTTCTCTTAAATAGACACACATGACAGTTTCACGGAACAACAACTATTTCCATCATACTTGACTTATCTTCACCTTTCTCCCCACCCTAATACATGTGGTCTTTAGATTGCTTTCACTGCCCTTAACCCCACCCCTCCCAGTCTCCCTGGATCCAGGATCAAAGGATCCTGGAACACTTACGTTCCCCTTGCACCCACCAGCTGATTCCAGAGTTTTATTGAGATAATTTAATACTTATTAGAGTTTCCCTTTCATTGTGTTCCATCTGTTCCAAGGGTCCTTATTTAGCATCATATCACATGTTATAAATATATAGAACTATAAATATATAGAAAAAAGTAGATCATGGTTCGTTGCTCCCCACTGCTTTCTTTCCTCTTCATCTTCCCCTATCTCGAGGTCTCTGTTTTGACTCATTTGTTGTTTCATAGAGTCTTAAAAGTATTTCTCAGATGAGATACTTGATGATTTTTGCAAATCTTTAATATCTTTCCTCCTTGGCTGGGTCTGGGGTACAGGCCTTTTCTGTCAGTAACTCACATTCAGTTTTACCATCTTTTAATTTCCAGGGTACCAGATAAAAAGCAAGAACTAACTTGCTGCCTGAAAATGTGCTAAGATTTCCCATTTCTGTAGAGCTCGGGAAAATTTCGCTTAGGGACATTTCATCTGTTGTTGAATTATGACTTCTCCTTTCCTGTTCCTTATTCTCTGGGAACTCAAGAGAAGTCACAGTCTCCTGGGCCCGTTCCAATTGCCCATCTTTAACCGACATGACTTGCGTCTCTGTATTTTTGTTACATTTTGAGATATTTCGTCTTGAATTTTCTAGACCTATTTTGGGGTTTTAGCTGTGACATCTTCTCCTTTTATTTATCTATGGAAAGTTTTAGTTCTGATACCATAATTTCTAGTTCAGGTTAATCTTTTGTGTTTGAGCTTCACACCTTTTCCAGAGATTTACCTGTCTCCACCTGCAGATCGCCCTGCCCTCTGGTGTCCCAGCCTCCAGGGCCGAGAGATTCAGTCCTCCCAGTTAGTTTTTTGGGGGTGTGGTGGAGACCCAGTAAAGCCATCCATTGTTCCCGGGAAACAGACTGCTTTGGGACCTGTTGCCTTGCTCTTGGCTCTGAGGCTCTTCTCCAGAAATTTGTCTTCAAGTTCTCTGCCAAGAGCTCAGCAGAGCCCACTTGAAGTTCCACACCTGCAGCCGAGAGGTATCAGAGGGTGTGGAAAGGGAGGTCTTCATAATGCTGCTGCATGCACAGAATCCCCTTGCTCTGAGTAGTCTCAGCGTTCTTGGCCGATAAAGTAATGAACTCCAAAGGACTTAAAAGCAGAAGCTATTATTAGGAAGTCAGAACTCCAAGTTGCAAGAGAGTGAAAATCTTAGACTGACTTAAGCAATAAAGGAATGTATTAGCTTACATAAATGAAAAGTTCAGGAAGCAGATCTGGCCCTGGGCTTCCAAATGAAGTCATTAAAACTTGGTCTTGCTCCATGTCCCAGCTCTGCTACCCTTCTTGTAGCCAAAACCAGCTTGAAAGTTTAGACTCATCTCCACAGAGGACAGAGTAAGGCCAAAGGTGGAGGGGCTTTGGTTGGATGGCTTGGGATAGCTTTTGAGACCCCTCCCCACCTACAATTCATTAAGAACTCCCTATCTTTGGACATTTGACCATCCCAAAGATACTTCTTCTTTGGGTCTTGGGCTTATCCCTACCCTCCCAGCTGGGATCTCAGGAAGAGGAGGGAAGGTGGGGCCCCAAAGGGCCCGAGCGGCTTCTGCTAAGGACCTGCTCCCAGCAGTTTGCTTGGGACAGAGCCCTCCTTCTGGCTGGAATAAAACACCGGTAAGGCAAGGGAAGCCACTAAGGGAAGCACCTGGAGCTGTGGAAAGGGAGAGAACTCCCAGGTATTTGGCAAGGTGAGACAAAGCCGGCTGGAGAGATGTGGCAAGGGGACCCTCAGAAGGTGTTTGAAGTGCATCCGGCTGCCCCAACTTACTTCTTCCCAAGACATAGGGATCAGTTAGACCTGGCGTTAAGTCGCGAAGGCCTAGGTTAGGGCGAGAGCCTCACTGATAGACAAGGTAAGAAGATAAGAAAGAAGGAAAGAGAAATGGCAAAGGATCCAGGCTCCGAAGACGAAGGAAAACAAAGTTCAAATCATACCCAGCTCCGCACTCTAGGCCCCCACCCCCACCCCTCCCCCGAAGCCTGGAGACTTCATCTCCCAGTACGGGGCGGACAGGGCAGCTTTAAGCCTGCGCAGAGGTGGCGGTGAGGCCGCGGCACGCCACGCGGGGGCGCTTGGGGCTTGGTCCTGAGCGGGCCAAGGCCGCGGGTGGCGCAGAGCCCCGCAGGGTGAGTGTGTCTGAGTGGGGTCATCTGAAGCCTCGGCCGCGATTCCTGGCGGGTCACAAGTAGGGCGGCGGAACCCCAACCCCCGCCCCACCCCCAGGATCAAGGTCTCAGTTCCCCGGGCCGCAGCAGCCACGTTGTGCGGTCTGCAGCACAGCAGCCTTCAGAACCCCACATCCCGCTTGTCAGAGGTTCCCCACATCCGGTCCCCGCCCCCAAAGCCATCTTCCCTCCTACACAGTCCCAGCTGCCTTCCCTTAACGGCGGCCAAGGCCTCTTCAGGGGAGGCGCAGGTTGGGGTCCTCAGGTCCAGGACCCCCAGGGCATTTGGGTTGCAAGGGCGTCCAACCTTTTGGCGCCTCAGGGCCACACTGGAAGAAGAGTTGTCTTGGGCCACACATTACATACATTGCAACATGTAATCACAAAATCTCATAATGTTTTAAGTAAATTTACGGTTTTGTGTTGGGCCACATTTATAGCCATCCTGAGGTGCATGCAGCCTGTGGGTCACAGGTCCGACACCCCCGATTAGTGTGTGTGTGTGTGTGTGCGTGCGCACACGCAGAAAACGTCCCCCTTTTTATTGGGACCAGCAGGCAAATCTCAGGCACATGGTTCTGAGAACTTTGAAAGTAAAAACCTCAGCTTCCCCTTTCTTCTGCCCCTCAAACCTCAGGTCTGGCAAACTGGACCTGCATCTCCCTATGGGAAGAGGCCTAGACCACAGGCTGTGGAGGGTGCGGCACAGTTGCAGAGTCCGTGGAGAGAGTAGGTCAGTGGCTGGTGAGCTTGCAAACTGCAGGTGATGGGAGTGGGACGGCTGTGAGTGTAAATTCTGGGGACTTCCTAGCAGCAGCACCAGCATCCGAAGAGCTGGGCTCTGGCCTCCACTCCCAGCACCCAGCCCTGCTTTCCCCGCGACAGTGGGCAGTGCTCTGTGGGACAGCAAAGCTCACACTCCCACCATGTGGGGTCTCTTGCAGGTCTGTAGTCCACTAGGTAAAATCCAAACACTTCTGGAGAAATTTTATTTTAAAACTTGGGGACACAAAGAGGCAGCAGGATGGAGACTGCTACTCTCCTGCCACCGCTCTCAAATCAGAAGCCAGGCTCGGGTTCCTCTGGTTGCTGGTTCCAGGCCCCCTCCAGCTTGTGGCCTCCCCAGAGGTATACCCACCCAGGTCCTCTTAGGCTCTTCCCCCCTTCCCCACTGCCCACTGCCTGTGTTGGAGGAGACACGGAGGTGTCAGGGGTATGCTGTAAGAAAGATGCAGTAGTAGGGAGGATCTGGCCAAACTCCGGAAGGAGGAGGAAGTGAGAACCTGGGAGTTTGGGGGCTGAGAAGAATCTATAGAAAAAAGAGGTGGGGAGTGGGCTGCTGCCTCTGCTTTCTCCATCCGCAAGAAACTGGGGGCCTGCTTTTCCCCTGAGATATCTCCCTCACAGGTCAGGCAGGAGGTGTGGGGGACATCACCTCCGGTGACTAGGCAATGGCTGACTGTCTTCAGGGGTATTTGGGAGAAATAGTCGTGCCCTGGACAGGGCAGCAGCTACCCCTGCAACAGAGGAGGCTTCAGAGTTGCGTGCCTCACTGTGCCGGTCCCTCCATCTCAGCTGGGTGCAGTCTGGCTGTTGGCGTAGGCCTGGTCTGGGAAGGAAGCCCGGCCTCTGCGGGTCTGGGCACACACTGAGGCGTAGAGCTCCGGCTCAGGGCCTGAGGTCTGGGGCTTTGTCTCAGAGTCCAGCACCACCTCTGAGTACTTGATGGGAGTTCCAGGGCTCGGGACCCGGCCCTGAGGAGGCCGCAGCTGCAGGCTGGTATAGCACATCGCCTCCCCTGCAGCCTGGAGATGCAAGGCTGTTAGGAATTCACTGGACCCTTGAGAAAGCACCCCCTTCCTTCCCTCCTGTCTTACTCAAGCACAACTAACTCACCCTGGTGGGACCTCCCGGTGTTGGAGCTTGCTGGTCCGGCCCTGGTTCTTGAGATAGCCATCCTGGGACAGGTAACAGGAATCTGATCACTTCTTCTTCTTCCTCCTGCAGCCCTTCATCCCACCCACCCAGGACCTGACCTCTGCACCCCTCCCCCTGCCATCTTCCTACCTGTCTTCAGATAATGTAAGTTCCCATAGAGGGGAACCTCTTCCACAGGCCCTCCGGAACTGTAACGCAAAGTTTAGGAGGTTAATGGGGGATTCTTGGTAAGGAGAAAACCTCAATTATACCATTTCTGTTTCCCCCCACTCACTGTCCCTCTCTTGGATGGCTCCTGCTCCGGCCACTAGTCCATCGGGACAAGTGTACAGCCAGTGAGATGAGAAGAAGCAGCGTCACAGCCCCTAAGAGGGCCCACAATCCCCAGGCCTCGCAAAAGGAGGGAATTCCTGTGGATGTGAGAGTGGGGGGGGCGGGTTACTGCCCAGCCCCACCCTCCAGATCCCAACAGAGGGGACGTGGGGGCCACATGACCCCTCCCCTGGCCCTTGCCCCTGCCCCGCCCAGCTTACCGTTTGCCAGTGGTAGCGTGGAGTTGTTACATATGCTCATGACTGCTGTCTTGGGAACCAAGTCTGCAGGCACCTTGCCCTGAGCCTAGGTGTAAGCTTGGCTTATGGCCTGACAGCTGCAGCAACCCCCCCTTACTCCCACCCCTCCCTGGGCCTGGCCCCCATAGCTCATCATCCCCAATACTGCTGATGGCAAAGTCGCTGGTTTCCGGGGAGGAAGGGGGAGGGGAAGGATGAGTGAAAGAACAGACACCACCCAGTGCCTGCACCTGCGCCACCCAGCAGCTCCTGAGCTTCCGCACTTCCCCTACCTCCTGCCCCCTCCCCTTCAGCCCTGTACCCCCTTTGGCCAGAAAAGAGAGAGGCAGGCCTGTGCCACTGTGTAGATAGGGGAGCCCATGAAGACTCCGCGTGAGGCAGAAGTGGCATGAGGCAGGACCCACAAAACAAGGAAACCAGGCTTTATCTTAGAGGTACACATACACCACAGGATGCCTGACTTTTCTCTCCCACTCTTGAGTCTCATGAGAGAGAATGTGTTCTCGATAAGCATGCTAGAAAGTGGAAGGAGCTAGGAGGTCTCCTGGTTTGCATCAGCTCACCACCCACTAAGGCAGATCCAAGGTGAATGTGTTAGGATGACCATTACCATTGTTACTATTACTGCTGTAGAGAAAGCTGGATTCCCCCTCCCAGCCCACTTCACCCAAACTCCCCTAAGAACTAACAATCTCAAAAGTTTCAAAACTGAAGAAACCCCTGCCCCTGTCCTACACTGGGAAAGTGAGCCCTGGCTCTGCACTTGTTCACTTCAAGAGTGGAGCACCTGCCCTGCCCAGAGACAGCCCAGTGAGCGAGAGGCTCTTCGTGTGGAAAGAGGGAATTTAAGTTCCAAATTTAACCCTTACACCAGAGGTCAGAGATATGTTTTGTCTGGCCTATGTGATGTTTTTTAGAAATTTAAAATCATTGCAGCGGTGTGCCAAGGATGGAGAAGGTGGGAGAGGTCCCGATCCTCCCACTGCAGGCAATAAAAAGGTATCATCTGTAGAAAGTTTTAAAACAAAACCAACTAAAAATCAGCCTCCTTTTTATTATCACCATGTTCTAGCAATTCTAAAAAAATGTGAGTTATAGCCCTGGCTGGTGTGGTTTAGTGGATTGAGTGCTGGGCTGTGAACCAAAGGGCCACTGGTTTGATTCCCAGTCAGGGCACATGCCTGGGTTGCAGGCTGGGGCTCCAGTAGGGGGCCTTGTGAGAATCAACCAATCAATATATCTCTTGCACATAGATCCTTCTCTCCCTCTCTCCTTTCCCCTCTCTCTAAAAATAAATGAAATCTTGAAAAATATTTTTAAATGTCAGTTATCAAGTACTCCTCTCTGAAAAATCCTTTATAGATCAAGTTCTAAATTGTTGCAGTTACTGATGAGCTTTAATAATATACAAGCTTCAAACTAGAACATTTATATTACTTATCCTTTAAGAAACATAGTAATCTACATGGCAATTGATCTGGAGAACTCCCAGTTAGTTAGACGATTGGCTCCCAACATCAACAGATTCATCTATGTGTGTTTACATCTAGAATTAGCTCTTAACAGTTTGGAGGTTTCAAGTTCCCTTTGTACAATTTCTGTCTCCATCTCCTGTGATAGTACATATTCCTGCATTTAACTCATAGGTTTGTAATAAACAATGATAGCACAATGATTGTAAAGTCAAGGACATTGAACTTGAATTACTTATGTAATTTGTGGAATTTATTGTGAAGTGAAATTTTTATGAATCTTTATCAAACATCCTTTTGGTCCAGGGAATGAATCCCAAACCCAGGCACATGCCCTGACTAAGGATCGAACCAGCAACCTTTTGCTTTGCAGGATGTCACGCAACCAGCTGAACCACACTGGTCAGGGCTTAACCCCCTGAATTTCTGACGCTTCTTGTTAGTTTCTTTTTTGGCCTTATTATTTGTTTCATTTCCTAATTATCACTGAAAATAATTTTATCCTACAGGAGAATTTTTTTAAATGATTCACTCAGCTGTCAAATACGCTAAGTATCCCTTGTCAACATTTAAAAACTGAGAGATTTCCAATTTTTTTAAATTCCAATTTGATTTTTTTTAAAGAAAGAAAGAGAGAGAGAGAGAAAGAGAGAAAGAAAGAAAGAAAGAAAGAAAGAAAGAAAGAAAGAAAGAAAGAAAGAAAGAAAGAAAGAGAAAGAAAGATCAGAATACTTGGCAATAATGGGCCTGAATTTCCTAAAGGCAACATCAGCTGGGGGCCATTTATTATTATATCTGGCCCAAACCACTTATTTCCATTGCCCACACTGACTGGCTTGCAGCCAAGGTTTGAACTACACTGCTCTGCAACCCAGGCTGCCTCTGGGCAGTCAGCTAGGGGCAGCTCCCCTAGGTGCAGGTCTCTCCATAGGGTTCCCCTTTCCTTTCTGGAAAGACAGGAAGATACACTGTATTTCATTCATTCCTTTAACACACCAGTACTTCATTCATTTAATACATGTGTACCAATTGCTTGCTTATGTGCCAAGCTCTGGAGATACAAATGTGAGTGGGAAATGGTTTCTTTCCTCAAAGAGCTCTTGGTCTTAATTAGGAAGACCACCCAGCATATCCCAGACAGTTAGGAAAGACAGTGTGGAACAGAGGGAGAGTACTGGTCTTCCTGGAGAAGTCTCAGAAGGTAAAAAGGGGGAAGGCCTGGGGGTTAGGTGATGTGAGATGGATGATACAGAAACAGAGAAAGGTTGCAGTCTCCACCTTACCTCTTACCTGATTAACAACACAACCTTCCTGAATCTGAGTTTCCTCATTTTAAAACAAAGCTTAATTATATTTACCTGTTGGGTCGTTTTGAAAACATTTATTTCATCCGACAAGGGTTCACTGAGTGCTTGCAGGAACCAGGTGCTGTGCTAGGCTATAGGAATAAAACAGTAATGGAAAAGATATATGGTTTCCACTTCCATGGCATTTATAGTCTAGTGGTAATTAACTAATTGACTTTTTAAAAATTATTTATTGATTTGAGAGAGAGAGAGGAAGGGGGAGAGGGAGAAACATTGATTTGTTGTTCCACTTATACATTCATTGGATGATTCTCATATGTGCCCTGACTGGGGATCAAACATGCAACCTTGGTGTATCAGGATGATGCTCCAACCAACTGAGCACCCAGTCAGGGTACTAATGAACTTATAATGAGTTAAAAATTGATTTTTTTCCAGCTTTATTGAGATATAATTGACATAATGGCGGCTTGAAGAAAGTACAATAGCTATATTAAATGAATCAACAAGAAATTAACGATTCTGAATAAAGGGAACACACGAGCTCAGATCTGAAGGTTGTGTAGACGGTAACTGTGCGAAAAGAGGGCATGAGAGCGGAAATCACTAACCTACAATCAACACCAAGAGAATTAGGACATACATTCAGAACGGTGGTCTCCTACTCCATAAAATACAGCCGCGCTGAGAATGAGCCCCGTGTGGTTGGTGCGTGCAAGGCGCACTGCCTGTGTAACTATTAACAGCTGACGGATGACACTCCCTGCCACACTCCGCTCAGCTACCCCGCTGGAGCGAGAGGGCTTCTTGGCGGGTATAATAGTGAGAAGCAGGGAGGATCTACGTGCGTGCACACGTGGCACTCTCTGCCGGGGGTCCGGGGACTTTCCCCTAGGCGGAAATAAGGAACTTAGTCCTCCGGTTGTAGCCTAGGAAACAGGCCTTCAGCACGGTCTGCGATAAACGCTTCGTAACAGTGCTATTTATAGATCCATCAGAAAACTTATCTTTTGTTTAGGGTGAGAACTTTGGTGGTTTGAGAAATAAAATTTACTTCTTAGAAAATCTCCTAAGATTTCTGGAGGCACTCCAGCTAATATAGAATAAGAAATAAACTAATTTCGGCAAGCTGAGCCAATGGCCATATGCAAATAATATATGGCCCGCCCACACGCTGAGGTGGGCGTATCTTTCTGGGGACCGCGGAGGGGTGGCCAGTGCGCGTGCGCAGGCGCACTGGCGCACTCAGGCGACTCCCGCAGCCTCGGGACTCTTACTCCGTCGCCTGCGATGGCGAGCGCCCTCTCGCTCGGTACTGTGCTGGGGCTGCTACTTGTGTCTGCGCTGCCCGCGGTCCTCGGCGACCGCTCCAGCCCTGACTTCCGGGCATACCCAGGTACCAATGAGGGCTGCTGGAGGGAGGCTGGGACTGCCCACGGGTCCCAGGTCGCAGCTCAATTGACCCTCCTCTGCCCTCCTCCGCAGGGGACCCCTCCCAGATCGGGCCTATGGCCACGGAACCCCGGCGGCGGCCACCGCCCAAGGGCCAACACGAGCGGGCCCAGGCCAGGGCGTTGCCTGTGGGGGCGCTGTACACCGCGGCTGTCGTGGTTTTTGTGCTGTACAAGTGTTTGCAGGTGCGGGAAGACGAGGCGTGTGGATGCCCCGGGTCTCAATTTCCCACGGGGACATTATGGTACCAAGAACAGGGGATGTCTTTCGGTCAGTCTATAAAATGTACAGTAGTTCCTTGCTTTTGCAACAGGATGGGGTTATTTTGAGCTTCCAGCGAGGTAATGGATGTGAAGGGCGCGGGGCAAATTGTAAAGAATGAACATCACATATAGCCCTCCTAACAAGCCAATGAACAGATTGTCACTTGCTGAAGGTCACTAAGAGCTAGTAACTGGTGGAGTTTGGATTTGAACCCAGCCAGTGTCCATAAGTATAAAAGTGGGGTGCCTGTTGAGATTCCGACCTGGCACAAGAGGTTGATTACTGTACACAAGGTACCAAGCAGGCTCATGTTCTTAGGAAGGAGGCCCTGAAATATGAACTGACAGTACATGTTGGTGGATTGAAACTGTTGAAACGGAAAGTGGTACCCAAGGGCTGTATCTTCAGCCCTGGCCCTGTCACTCAATTGCACTAGGAAAGAGGGCTGAACCAATTTGGAGATAATGTAAAACTGGGATAGCTGAGCATGATCCCCAATAGACTTGGCAAGCTAGGATAAAGGACTGAATTTAACGAAATTTAACTAGGAGAGAAATTCTATTCTTGGACCCAAGCATAGTCTGAAAGAAACATAACAGCAGTTTCTTTGGCTAATAAAGTTCATTTGTGTGCTGTGACAACTCATTTCCCAAATAAATGCTGAGAACAAAATATTTTGCTTTATCTTCTTCTGGTCAGAACACTCCTGGAGAATTTTATTCTCTTCAGGGAACTGCTTTAAGAGCACAAACTCAGTAAAGCAACCAGAGAAAACTCAAATGAACACTGACTGAAAAAGATCGGTGATATTAAACCAGAGAAGACGTGGGGAACGGGTGGAGGGGGGGCAGAATGACCATTGTTTTTAATTTTCTGAGGGGCTCTCATGTTGAAGACTTGATTTTGAAAGGCTCTAATCAGCACAATGTAAAGATACATGAAAGACAATTACTGGCTTTGTATATAAACAAACAACCAGAGCTTTATCGAACTGGAGGGAGCTGCTCTTTTCCTGGAGGTGTTACAGTAGACTGACCACGTGTGAGGACGTACTGACAGGTTGCTTCAGGTTCTGGGTGAGGAGCTGGATTAGATGTGATTGTGATTGTCAGGTAAAAATCCAGTAGTTTTCTGTACTTCAGATTATCCTTCTCCTCCTCTTACTGGCTTGGAGACTGAAGTGATGGGGAACCTTGTGGCTGCAGTATGGCTCTTTCCTTCTTCTATAGCAGGGGAAAGATAAGGCTGCTGTCCTCCAAGAGGAGGCAGGCGAGAAGGAATCACTGCAGTCAGGTGGGTGCTGCAGAAGTCTGTGCTTGATGGGGAACTGGAGGGCAGCAGAAGGTAGGCAACCATTGCTCTCCTTTTCTCCCTTACCTCCAGAGCAGCAGCTGGTCCAGTTGATACAACAGCTGGCCCAGACAGAGCAACACCTGAACAATCTGATGGCCCAGCTGGACCCCCTTTTTGAGAGGTAAGGAGAGCAATTTGTGGCAGGTGCGAAGCGGGGACATAGATAAGTAGATTGGACAGCCTCTGAGCGGGCATCTCTGCAGTGTGACTACCCTGGCTGGAGCACAGCAGGAGCTTCTGAATATGAAGTTACACACCATCCATCAGCTGCTACAAAAGAACAAGCCAAACAAGGGTGTGGAGGATCCAGAATCAGGTAACAGGCTCGGGTGAGTGGGGTGGCGGTAGAGACAAAGTCTCTGAAACTGGAACATGCCGGATCTTCCCCTCACAGAGGCCAGCATACCCTTTCCTGAGGACTTCTGTGTGAAGGAGGAAGAAAAGGAGGCTGGTGACAGTCAGGCCTGGGAAGAGCGCCTAAACTGGAGCACAGGGACAAGGAACCTGGCTACTACTAATTGGGGAGTGGAGCAGGGGCTAAGGAGGAGACGCAGCAAGGCTGCAGCAAGGGGCCCCAGTCACAGCCCCCTCTGGGAAGGAGGGGCAGCGGCTGACGGTTCAGTAAAACAAAGTCTTTTCTTGTGATTGGATGCTCCTGTGTGCTTTTTCCATTCCAGCTGGTCACACACACACCCATACTAGGTGCCTCAGGACAACTAGCCCTTCTAGAAAAGCTTCCCTTATTAGGACAAAAAGAGGCTGCCTTCCAGTGTGAGAGCTAAGACAGAGGGAGCTCCAGTCCTTTTCCTTGGATTCATGAGGCCACTGTCATGCCAGCCTTCAGGGCACAGAAATCCCTTTTCTCATATCACATAACTGAGAAAGGCCTTTCCAGAAAAACAGCAACAAAAAAGCTTTACTTCAATCCAGTAGGAAAATAAAACTATAAAAATAGCCACATTTGCAAAGCCGCAACCTTGACAAACGACAGGGCACCAAGCTTATCAGCCCCCAATCTCCTCGTCTGTGCTGGAGGGGCTGGTTTGGCGCAGGTTCAGTTCGGTCAGACTTGGTTTCTTGATTCTTAAGATCTGGTCAAATAACTCGGTTCCAGGCAAACACAAAATGACCGTTCCCAAACCATGAAGGGTTCTGTGTTTAGTTTTGTACTCCTGACCCTGACTTATCCCTGAAGTATCCTGGGTTCTGGAATTTGTAAGATTCTTCTAGTTCTTCTGGCTGCTGTGGAAAGAAAACAGTCAGTTCAGGCATTGGGATGAGCACTCTATTCAGACAAAATCACCCACAGGAGAAGGGGAAAGGGGCGGGGGCAGTGGTGTCCCAGACAGATGGAGGATGTGAGACAGGATCAGAACTGCTCATCTCCAGCTCCTGGACCCCATCACAACACTCTTACCAAGGAAGGACACAGCTTACCTGATGGCCAGAGTCAGGCTGCGGTACCAGTGCACCAGCTCCTCCTGGTCGGTGGACATAAGCAGTAGCTTCTCGTGGGGAAAGGACAGCTAGGAAGAGACTACCTCTCAGTGCATGGCTGAGAAAGATCCAGGCTAAAGCTGAACGCCTTGCTGCTCCCACGCGGGTAATTTAGGACGGAAGTAAGAACTAGGTATGAACCCCCAAACCCAGTTGTCCTCTCTCAATGTGGATGCCTCATTTCCTATGAAAGGGGCCCAGGTCAAAGAGATAAAAGGGTGCGTAGGTGTCTGAGGCCTCTCCTACCTTCCCTGGGACTCCCACCTCTTTACTTACACTGAGCAGTCCGCCACAAGGGCCTCCCGAGTGGCCAAAGACCTTGTGGAGCTGACACTGGGCCATGGGGTAGAGGGCCCGGCAAACGAAGGTGCTGTGCTGCAGCAGGTGCAACGCGGGGCGAGGCTTGGCCATGAGAAGCACGTCAGAGAAGAGGAAGAACATTCGGGGCCGAGGTTTCCCACTGGGAGGCACCACTAACAGCCAGCCCTGGCGCAGGAACCAGCGACCTGAGGGACGGGAGAGCTGTCATTCTGATGTAGCTCCAGGACCATGCTCCACAGGAGTAGAAGGAAAGGGAGGCTGAGAAAACAGGGGTATGTGCCAGAAGTACTGAGGAAGCAGGGTGGGTAAGAAAAGGGGAGACGAGAGGGAAGTACGCAGACTACCTGAGATAAGCCCCTTTGCCTGGCGTCCACTGAGAAGAGCCTGAACACGCCGGAGGTGCTGGTCATTCTTCTGTTTCTGACCAATGGTGTGGACTCTCTGGGAGGTCTCAGTTATCAGCCGAGCAGCCCCTGGAGTGACATCCCCAACCCCATTTCCAGCACCCCTCTGACTCTAGGGCTGGCAGTGGTGAAAGACAGGCTATACCCAAGGGGACCAGGACCCAACTTCTTGACAAGTAGGCAGAAACATGGGGATACCATGTACATGTTGAAGGAGGATAGGACCAGAGCAGACATTGTTGGCGATCGCAGCCAGAAAGGGGTATAAGAAAGGCAGCCTTCTGCCTGAGTTTTGGCAGAGTAAGAACATACGTGTGAGCTGTTGGTGGTCAGGGCTGTTGGGACTTGTGTTCTCAGCCAAAGCAACAACAAGGTTTTCATACCTAGAAGCAGACATCTGGACGTCTATGAGGGGAAGTAGAGCTGTGCAAAATTCCCTTTGCCTGACACACACACAACCCCCTATGTATAGTTGTTTTGCAAAGCCAGGGAAGATCTGCTTCTGGCTATTGTATTCTCTCTTTTAAAACCTGGGCTCATGCCACATGGCCCTTTCCCATCCCACATTGATGAGTCAAGGGCAGACTCCAGGAATTCTAAGCTAGGACAGCCTCTCCTCTCAGCAAACTCTTCCAAACACCCTGTCACTAGCCCTATTACAGGCCCCCTCACTTCAAAGTAGAGTTCTACTACAGTCCCAGCAAAGGGCCTGAGGCTGCAGATTCCAGGTACTCCAGTGGAGTCACACTTGCTACTCTCGCAAAAAGGATTTTGGGAGCAATTTGTCCCAGGAGAGAGGCATTGGGGCAGGGCAGCTGTCCGTCATACAGATTCAGGAAAGAGACGTTGGCTAAATCAGGATGAGTTCACTCACTGCTGGAGCCTCTGCAGAGGCAGGGGGAGCAGGTCCTGGAGCTGAAGGCCCCCAAACTCAGGGCGGCCTTCCTGAAGCCTCACGAACCTCCGGAAACGTTTGCTTTTCTTTAGTTGTTCCTGGAATGAGGGGGAAAGTGTTGGCAGCGGAGAAGCCACGCCTTACATTGTATTCACCTGTGTACACATTCCCAGCCCTCAGTAATCTGTGTGCTCCTAAGAGAACCCCTATCTCCCTACAGAGACTTAGCACAGAACGGGACACCCCAGGGCTCTCTAAATGCAGGATCAGTAGGAATGAAGTTTAGGTCTCCAGATGAACAGCAAATGTACAGGGCAAGAGAGGAGGAGGGGAAGGACTTGAGGTCATCTTCGGGTTACCTGCAGGGTGGTCCGCGACTTCTCTGCATTGGCAGCAAACTGGGTGTACAGCTCCAGGTGTGGACAGAAGCCCTCCAGCCCCTGTCCCCAGTGCCCACCTTCCAGGTAAGGAAGCAGCTCTCTGCGTGGGTGAGGACAATGAAAGAGCTGCGGAAGAACTGCTCAAGCACTACATTTAATTCTTATAACCCTGCCCCAGAGGTAGTGCTGTTATTTCATTTTACAGATGGAGAACGGGGCACGGGGCCAAGACCACAGGTGAGGTCATTAGCAGGCTCGGAATATGAACCTGGGTCTCTCCAAATCCGAAGTCAGGACACTCCCTCATTCCCGCTCCTTAAGTTCCTTCCACTCACTGGCTGGCGCTGTAAATGAGCTCCCAGGGCCCAAACAAGGCCTGGCGCTCTGGTGGTCGCAGGGTGCCCTTGGCTCTCAGAATCCCCACGAAGTACTAGGGAAGGAGAGAACACCGTTATCTAGTCTGCAGGCGGAGGCAAACGCCAAGGCGTAGTAGAAATCTGTAGAAGTCTCCCCAGCCACTAAATGCGGGCGGACAGGGCAAGACCACCCTCTCCGACCCTGGACTCGGGATCACCGACCTCGCAGAGACCCTCCCACACCCTGGGGTCCTCGCCCCATACGACAGAGCGTGCGGGACCCGCACCGTGGCCACCAGCCCCAGCTGTTCCTGGTAGCGCCGCTCGGTCTCCAGCAGCTCCCGGGCGGTGCAGGCGCGTTTCCGCTCCCAACGGGCACGCTGCTCTTGCACCGGGCACCGAGCCCTGAGGACCGGGCTCTCCATGCCTAGCTGACCGGTAGACATTTCCCGACTCGGCCCGCCAGAGATTCAAATGCTAACAGCTCCGGGGCGGGGCAGCGCAGCGTAAAAGAGCGCGCCTCCAGGGGCCGGGAGGCCGAGTGCAGGACGGAGCATGCGCGGCAGCCTGCGAAACCCGGGCGGGTCTGCGCCACCGCCTCGCCCCACCACCGGGGTAGCGCAGTAGGTGCGTGAAGCCCTCCGGGATAGGGCTGGGTGGGGCAAGTGGGTGGCTCTCTTCTGAGTGGCACTAAGTTGAGGCAGCAGCCTGGACTTTGAGTCAGGGGGCGTCAGGGTGCAGACACTGGCAGGGCCTCCGTACCCCCTCTGTAGAAGTGGGAAAGAGGCAATACTTGCAGTACTTAATGGACACAAGGGCCCATGCCAGCCAGGCGCTGGGGTTCAGTCATTCCCAATGCTCCTTTTAAAACTAGGAACCCTCATGGGTCACAGCTCTGAAATGTTTCGCCCTTCTCTCTCCCCCCACCCTGCCCTGCTCAGACAAAAGTTTGCAGGTTTTAAGTTACTCATTTTCTTGTTCCAAAATCTGACAGCCAATTAGCTTCTGGTCAGCAGGTGTCAATAACTAACGGTGGTTCAGAATTGCTTAATTATGGCCAAAGGCAAAAGCATGCAGTTCATCAGTCTGTGCTGTTTAATCAAAGATAATATGCATCAGACTTTCCTTATTTAGTTCTTTTGAAAAATTGGCAGTAGCCCTGGAACGTAAATTGGCAGTACCATTTTGTCAGTGTGTATGAGAAATCTTTAACTGTGTCTACTCTTATGACCTAGCAATTCCAGTTCTAGAAGTGCATCCTAAAGAAACATATATGTGGACAAAAATATACGGACTAGGGTGTGCAGCACGACATTGTAACAACAGAAACCTGGAAACGACCTAAATGTCCAAAGGTAGTACATTGGCTAGGAAAACTGGGGTACAGCCATTTGAAAGAATAACATCAAAGTATAAAAATGATTTTTAAAAACTATCAATATGGCAAAAGGTCCATAGTGTATTGCCAAGGGAAAAAAGCAGACTACACATCTGTGTGCAAACTATGATCCCATTTATGTATAATATACATAACTACAACGATAAAGTAAACATGTAATGGTGGCTTTATCTCTGAGTGATGAGACTGGGGATAATTCATTCGACAAGTACTTATTAAGCACCCAACCAGTGCCAGGTACTGGATCATTGAGGTTAAAGGGGCGAATGGACAGAAAGGGTGATTTTTAAAATTCCTTTATACTTTCCTGCCTTTCTCAAATGTTCTGCTTGAGCACACATGCATTACTTTGTAATTAGAAAAAAATACTATTAAAAAGTAAAGTGTTAGATAGGCTTTAGCCCCCATTCCCATCACTCTAAACTCCTAGGAATCTGGGCCTCATGCCAAGAACCAAGGAACTGTCAGGGATCCGAGGTCCCCTCTAGCTCTCTGACAGTCGAAGAATTCTGAAAAAGAAGAAATGCTGGACTTTTCAGGGAGAAACAACTTGAAGGGCTTGGTGGAGAAATGAGTTTGGGTCAGATTGTACCTTGGACTCAGGTCTCAAGGAAACTGGTGATACAATAGTTGGAAGACTGGCTACAGTCTCAAGAGAATGTGGGACAGCTTGCACTAGGACCTCAAGCAAGGAGGGGGACAGATAACCCCATGGTAATTGGTATCACCCTGAGTCCAGGTGATGAGAACAGAGCACAGCACCTGGGATGCAATGGTGATGGGTGAGTTTGGGTGCATTGCCAGCATGTGAGCGTGCTTTATAGAGCCTACTGTGAGCTCAGATGGGGGATCATCCAATTGTGAAAGGAGGGAAACCTGAAATGACACACCATGGATAATTGGAGACAACTGATTCCCTGGGACCAACTCGCCCACAGAGCAAGCCAGGCACACCCCACAGTCTACCTGGAACATAGTCTCTACTCCCAACTGTACCTCCAAAGTCAAAGGAGGGAGGGGCCAGTGGCAGAGGGTCAGAAGGCAGTCAACAACCCCTCTGTCCTTTAATTACCCTGAACCTCTGCTCTCAACTCACTGAATGCTGGAGAAGCTTTGAACAATTATGTTATCCCACAAAAATTAAATGCCTCTCACATGCCACGTCCTGTGCTAGGCATGGAAATGAAATGGCCTCTGTTGTTGTGGATGCTTGTAATCCAGCATGGCAGACATGGTAATGAGTCACCATAAAGTGAGACAAACATTACAAGGGATGTATGGGCAGGAGTGACCCTACCCCACCTGGAAGTCAGGGAAGGCTTCTCAGAGGAAGTGACAATGTGAACTGATACCTAAAGGATGAGCAAAACCTGGTGGGGCAGGGTTGGCAATGGGGAGAGGTGAAAAAGAGGGACAGCATGACAAAGCTTGGAGATACACTCACACAGTGCATTGGAAGAACTGCAAGAAGTTCAGTAAGACTAGAGCATAGATTGCAAGGGAGAGTGGTGAGAAGGAAACTGGAGAGACAGAGGCCAAGCCATGGAGGAACTTTATATCAGTAAGACTATGTCACAAGTAATAGTAAATTCCAAGTGGCTAAACAATTAGATATTTCATTGGCTTATGCAACTGAAAAGTCCAGATGCAGGAAGGCCCTAGGGTTAGTTTAATCAAGCAACTCAATATTATCCCCAGGGGTGTGGGGATGTTCATCAGACAGGTGGTTATGGATCTGGCATGGAGGAGTCCAACCTGGGGTTACTTGGCTGTCATGAACTTGCAGAAACTATGGAAGTGGATGAAACTGCTACAGAGAATACAAAGAGGGATATGCGCAGAAGGCATTGAGAATCGCCAACACAAAAGCACTTCTTCTCATCCTCTGCATCTACTTCATTTCTAAAATGGATAATGCCTGGCTGGTGTGGCTCAGTGGATTGAGCACCAGCCTATGAACCAAAAGGTCACTGGTTCAATTCCCAGTTGGAGCACATGCCTAGGTTGTGGGCCAGGTCCCCAGTTGGGGGTGTGTGAGAGGCAGCCAATTGATGTTTCTCTCACACATGGATGTTTCTCTACCACCTTTTCTCTCTCCCTCCCCATCTCTGTGAAAATAAATAAAAACAAAATCTTAAAAAAAAATAGCCCCGGCCAGGTGGCACAATTGGTCAGAGCATTGTCCTGATACACCAACACTGCAGGGCACATACAAGAATCAAGCAATGAATGATTGCATCAGTGGGTGGAACAACAAACTGAAGTCTCTCTTTCTCTGTCAATAAATAAAAATGTTTAAAAATAAGTAAAACTAAAAATAATTGAAAATGGCTAAGGTGGCCCCCATAAAGACATGTCTATATCCTAACCCCTACAACCTGGGAATGTGAACTTATTTGGAAAAGAGTCCTCCAAGATGTAATTAAGCTAAAAATCTTGAAGTAAGATCATTCTGGGTTATCCTGGTGAGCCCTAAATCCACTGACATGTTTCTAAATGAGACACCCTGATACGGACTCTGGCCAGCAGTGTCTGCGGTGTTGTGGATGCGACAAACAAATTCACATGGACTGTGGAAGTCCGGTGGAGAAAAGGGACAGTATGGCCACTCTCTGAGTGAGAGAGCACCCCAACCCTTGCCTGGACAGGCATTCATTGCTTTCTGGGAGCATTACATCAAGGAAGGTCCTCATTCATCACTGTCAGGCAGTAATGATTAAACAATAGATAACATTCAAAGAACTATGAGGGCTTCTTCTGAGTCAGGGTCAGTTAGCCAAAGGGCCATAAAACTTTGGGAAACAAACTCATTTCATGCTTGGACCCTTATCAGAAAATTGAGGACATTCTTAGCAAAGCAGGTTTCACAAGATTTTATGCATTCTTCCCTAGGCCTGATTGCCCCCGGTGAACTGCCTGTTCCTGCCTAGGGCTGCACTGCCCTCTGGCATTGTTTCAGGCTTAAGTCAGGCAGGGAAAGTAAGGCAGCCGAGAGGTTAGACTTCCTGCAGACAGAATGAGGACTCAGGCTATGTCAAAGCTGAGGGGTGAAGGTCCATCACCCCCTTTTTCTATAGCCCCCCAAGTCCTTCCCTGAGGGATCCTTTGTGACCATGCCTGTCTTAGATTGTCCCTCCCTTGAAGAATCTTACCCATCATTGGCTAATCAGTCATCCACCTGGGGTCAAGCAGGGTGAAGTAAAAGGGGGCAGAGGTGACAATCCTTCCAGGAAGATAAGCTTTGTCTCTTCAGTGGCTTATGGTCCCAAGGTCTTTTTACTCAGCCTTAGCCATGGGGGGTTACAGCTTCTGACACCAGGCAGGGCAGTTGAAAACAACACCCAGTGGAGACCTGGCTGTTTTGGCTCAGTGGACTGACTGCCAATCTGCAAATCTAAAGGTTACCAGTTTGATTCCCAGTCAGGGCAGGTCCCTGGTTGGGAGCATGTGAGAGGCAACCAATGCATGTCTCTCTCACACAATAATGTTTCTCTCCCTTTCTTTCTCCCTCCCTTCCCAACCCTAACCCTCCATTATAATAAAAGAGAGCAGGAGGGAGGGAGAGAGAGACAGACTCAGTAGAGAGACAGGGGCAAGAGGAAAAGGCCCATGTGAAGTTGGAGGCAGAGACTGGAGTTATGCAGCCAGAAGCCAATTCCTGGAGCCAGCAGAGGCTAGAAGAGGCTCAAAAGCCTTCAGGAGGGGCAGGGCCCTGCCAACACCTTGATTTCAGATTCCTAGACTCCAGAATTGTGAGAGAAAAAATTCTGTTGCTCTAAGCTGCCCAGTCTGTGGTATTTGTCACAGAAGTCCTAGGAAACTAACACAGGTGGGGAGGTGGGCCAGAACTACAGGTCAGCCTCCAGGCCCCAGAAGAACTTTGATCTGCCTGTACTTCCAATCCATGGCTGGGGAGTAGGGGGCTTTTTCTCCTCCTACCCATGAGCAAGTACATTGAATAGCTGCCCACTCTGCAACTCTGGAAAAGAAAGAGACCCTAATGATCAAAGATTTGGCATTAAGATCGTGCCCCAGGTGGCAGTGCCCGTCAGTCAGTCAGTCCTGAGTACA